TTAACGTTAGTCAATCGGATTTTAGCTATTGTACTATATAAATATATTATCTAATTGGATAATGTTGATGTTCTCTCATTATACTTGATATATACAACAACAAGAAGAAGATAATGAATATATACACAGACACATATAGAACTAAAGTCGAGTGGCAAGCTCTTTATAGATATTTACATGCATACAGCGATATTTAGGAAGACCGTGATATATTCAATTAGAGAAACCTTTAACTATATAAACACGCATATATATATATATATATATATATATATATATATATATATATATATGTGTATATCTATTATATGTATAAGACAGCGTCTCAAAATGTGGCAAAATACTTACTGCTAAGTGGTACTTCGACAATGAAGTTGAAACATTTCATAACCCTAGGCTGATCTGTTGTTGTGAGGCTACAAAACGCATATCACTTTGAAAAGGGAGTTACGATACAGTTATTAGAAAACTTTTACACTTAAAACCAGGGGAAATATTTCATAGGAAATGGGCAAAGTGTCTTCATTTTTCGAAGTAAATCGTTTTTCAAAACTAAATTTAGAACGATTTGTATAAAAAATAAAAAGAAAATGTAGTTGATTTTATTTTTACCAATGAGGACCAAACCGAAAATATAAAAAAATCGTAGCGAAATTCGATCAGAAATCGGGTCATTAAATACTTATATACATGTATAAACTCCAGTCAAAAGACCCAAAACTAAAAATGAAAAAATTCCGTGACCTTACAATTGAGTTGGACATTCTTTTGGCTTCTTGTCTATAATTTTTAGCCTTGTTATAATTTCCTTAAAAACTATACGCTCACATGCATACACACACAAACACATACACAAGAAAAATACTTTACAAAAAGCTAGTCAATTGATGTGGACAGCCACAAATCAATAATCTCAATCTACTCTAGCAGCAAGTAAGTATGAAACCCAAACCAAAATAAAATACAAATTATATTAATTAAATATAAAAAAAGAAATTAATTTAAAGCTAAAAACTAAAAAACGTACACAATAAAGAATAAAAGCAATTATTTTCCTGGGAAAATATAAAACTCAAATAAAATCAAGTATTCTATATAAAACAAAATAAATTGAACGTATTTAATTTAATGTATTGCTAAAAGAGAAACCAGCAAAAAAACAAACAGAAATTTAGTTTTAAGCTTAAACATTTAAGTCATTCAAAAAGGTGTTAAGTAATTTAAAAGCAATGTGGCTGAATAATTTAGCTATTACATACAGTTTACATAACAAACGCTATTTATTTATTTATTTCTATTATATATATAATGAACTATATATGACACTAAAAGTTCGATGATATGCTATTTATGCTTATTTAAACAACTAAAACGAAATCAAAGACACAGTAAAAAATAAAGAAAATGCATACATATATATTAAAATAAAATTAAGTGTTAAGCGACAAAAATTAAATGAAAATGAATTAAATATTTAAGCAGAAATTTAATGAAAAAAAAGATCAAAGAGAAATAATTGAACGTTTTCTTATAACAAGGAACATAACATTTTAAACAGCTCGTCACATATCAATTATAATGAGCTATATTTTTGGCATAACGGTACTCGTACTTATAAATGAAACAAACTTCAATTTTGATGTTTTTGAAAGCAACAAAAAGTTGATGAAAATAGTAAAGAATTTCTTTCAAAACAAAAGGTGAGTAAAGCCAGAAAACATTTCTTGAACTGGTTAAGAAATCCATAAAAAAATAAATATATATATATATATGTATTATACTATATATATATAAAACTTAGACTCGTCTTCCAGCAACTAATTGACAACAAAAAGAAACGCAAAACTGAAATTCAGTAATATTTTTGTTTTCGTAGCTTCAGTTTGGCTCACTATATAAAAATATATTTATTATATACATATATGGTATTTGAGAACTGTATAATCTGTTTTTCATTTGTATTTTCCCTGTAACATTTGGCTTTACTTTAAATTTGAGAACGAGTTCAAAGTTTCGAGTATGTCAGCTCGTAGAGCAACCAACAACTGATGGTAGTTATTTCCTTTGCCGAACTTGTTAGACGTAAATATGAGTACAATTTTTGCAACGAGGAATTTTAAATGAATGTAAAATTAAAAGTATATAAAGTGCGTTGGATTAAGAGATTTGTTAACAAAAAGAAACCCCGATTTGAATCCCTTTATAAACACCGCATATATGATTTGCTATAAGTGTATCTAACTAGCTTAGAGACCTCTTGGAAAAAGAACAGCAAGAGAGGAACTGTTGTATATTTGTTTCTCAAAAAGAAAAACTTAATACTAATAAGCGATAAGTGCATTATATTAAAAAGGAGAAGAAAAACAAAAAAACAACAACTAATTAAAAATTCGAATGCTAAGTTGTCACGTATATCTTCTAGGCCATAAGCAACAAACAACCCATATATAAGTATATATATACAAAAACAGTTGAATTGACTTTAGTTCTCAACATGTAGCTAAACATATATATGGCATATATGCTCCCATATATATATATATTTACATTATATATTGTAACAATTTGCAGCCAACATATATTTGGTAATTATTATTTATTTGGTAATTAGCGTAAATCGGGACAAATCTATATACAACATGCAAGTCCTGTCGCTCTATACTCGTTTAGAAAATAAAAATAAAATCAGAAAACAAACCCCCATATTTAACTCTTTCCACATATATAAACAAAACGAAAACTGTAAACTCTGTACTTAATTCTTAGCTACAAACGAAAAGATCCGAACAGACTCTGACAACAAATATCTCAACATTTGAAAACGAAATAAACTAAAAATGTGTTGGCAAAAATAACACAAAAAAAAGCATAAATTAAAACAAAAATTTGCATTTGATTTCAAAGAAAAGAAAAGAAAAAAAACAACCAATTATATATTTAAATATTATAAATTAATTGAAGTAATTAATGTAATTTGTTGTAATTAGTTTGCACGTATTTTTGCTGTACAATGCACTTGAGAAACAAAATATGTATGTATCTACAATAACTACATAATACTTCATATACATCAAATATAGTATATGAAAACCCAAGAGGTGTGTAGCTCGTAAGCCTAGTTGATTAACTGCATAATTACGATAAAAATTAGCTAATAGTTGAATTAGAAACCACCGTCATATTAGACTTTGTATAATGTATATCGTATACACTGTACAGTGTACACTAACTATAATGTACGCCTCGTTTACTGATCATATTGTATTGCCCCATCCAATTTCTACATTTTAACATATTCTTGTAGTTTCTTTAGCTTTCGGCTCTCTCTGTTTCACTTTCTGAATACACGCTTTATAGTATTTTTTCAGTATTTCTTTTGGTTTCTATTTCATGTAATACTGTAATATTAGTTAAGACTTTTTATTTTAATTTGTATATAACAAACACACACACATTCCCAAGAAAGCATGTCGCTCGCAAACAAAATCTATATAGATCTGGGTATTATATATCTATGTGTATATACATATATACCTAAGAAAGCGAAGCAAATATGCTAAGAACAAAACTTATTATGAATGAGAATCATAGATGAAAGCAACTATTTAAGTGGACAATACATCTCAACAGCAACAGCAACAACAAAAACACACAGTTAAGCAATATACAATTATATATATGTATATTAGTATACCAACTTTTATACTGAGAAACATCTTTAAACATAACATTCATAAATAAACTTATATATTTTAAAGTGAAAAGTACGAGAGAGCGTTTGCTCTCGACAAAAGCTAACATTAGTTGTTAAGTACAGTATTGAATCATGAACCAATACAGCTATATACATATATACATATACAAAAGAAATATATATATACATATATCTATATATATTCGTGTGTGTGCATTATTTTGGAAATGCAAATGAGTAAACTGTAGAGTTTGTGTTGCGAGTTGTACTTAAAATGGAAAAATTGAATAACAATATAATTATACAATATACGGTTAATAAACTCAAGCTGTTATATAATAATTATCTGATTATTAAGTACCACAACTTCTTTAAATGCTTCTTATACTATAAACATATATGCATACTTATATTAATTAGTAATTATATATATACACATATAAAGTATACTTAGTAATAGTGTTGATTAAACCCTAATTAGTATGCACACGCACACACACACACGTACACACATACATAAAATAACAATTTGGTATTTAGTTGCGTACAATAAATACATGGAAACATCAAAACAACAAAATAAACCAACATACTCATCTAATTGTCACTGCGTAACAGTAATATATAAATAAATTAATATTATATATACACATACATAGATATATATATATATATAAATAAATGTTTCACATAAATTATATATATATATATTTATATATACATGAATATATTTATTATTGTAGTCCGTAACGAATTATTTCATGCATTTTCTCTCCAACACCCAGTAAATAATTATTGATTTTCGTATTACATTTCGTATCTGGTATTTGTATATTAGTTCGTTTTGTATAGAGAAATATATATATTCAGTATTTTTGTTTCTTAGATGAGCACACAAGTATTTTAAATTTGAAATATTTCTATCTAAATGTGTAAATTTTAATTTTTATAGATCAGCGCTTTAAATATATTTTAGAACTCGTAATATATAGGCGTAGATACTTTTACTGAAGTCAAAGTAAATATTTTTATATAATACAAGGAAGCAAAGATAGATTATCTTCGATCTGTATGTGATTTGAAATCCAGAATCGCGGCTTGTTCTTTTGTAATTTTGAGCAGAGATTATACGATCAGCTTTTACATAGATTTTTGCGATTGGCGAATGCAGAAATTCTTCATGTTTCATAAAGGTATCGAATATAAAATGAGGACAAATAAAATCGCAAATGATCTCACAGTTCCCTACGCTTGAAAGCATAATTGGGCTCTAACGATGTCAAGGACAAACAATGCAGTTACTTACCCCCCAATGATGTTTTAAGGCACTGGATGAGAAGACAATACTTGGATTATCCAACCAGGGAACAGGTGGCTCTACAAATTATGCATTGTCAAGTGTCCAATGATATCTTCGTACGATTTGTGAAAACACTTACCAACAAATACACTGCTGTTTCGAACTAAGCCATATTTACCAAAACTTAACTAAAATATAGGTATAGAGAAATGGTTATCCAATTATTATTGCATCAGCACAACATCTATATATCACCTTTGGCATAGCATTAAGGAGTCCACGTAGCGGAGATTTAGCAGTCGCTAAACGAAACGCCATCATTACCTTACGCTAACTCTTAACTAATTTAAAAAGAAAACCGAATTGCCTTATAAGTAGGTACATACACTGCAATCTAGAAAAGTTCCGAAAAAACAGAATTCTGAATTTAAACTAAATAATGACAATTCCTGAAGCTCATGTCGAGCAACTTTTCGGCCACAGGTTGCTTTATATATTTCCATTTTTTTGTTTGTTGATAAATAGGTATATAAATGGATCACACTATTATTCCGAAATATAGATGCAATATACTGGAAAAAGGCGGATTAGAAGGTTTAGTTTCTTAAGCCTTTTCACCATCAATTGTCTTTTCTTGGAGAAAATTTCTAGGGAGTATATATTACATATATGTATTAGCCTCGGGAATTTGCACATTTGTTGTATACTCAACAATTTAAATTTATTTAGAAATAAATTAAATTTTTTTTAAAACTCTTATACAAGATTACATTTATAGAGAACGCGTACGGCATGCGATGAATTTGTGTTGCCACGCCTTCGATTGGCCTTCACTGCATCCAAGTGCCGCTCTGCTATTTTTATGTATAGTAAGTATGATTGAATCTTTAGTTTTGTTTTAACACCAGAATTTTTCGTCGCGCTTTGCTGACGGCTGGAGCACGCTTTTAACTAATTGAATCCTTATCTCGGCAGCGAGCAGATCTCGCAGGAGTTCAACTCGCCGCGATTGATGAAGGTGCAGTGGCTGCAGGTCCATGTGTTGGCATCTAAATCCATGGCATCGGCACCAGTGGCGCCAGTGCTCGCTGTAGCACCACTGGGATAGCTGGCCGTTCCACTAATTAATAAGCAGAATAGTACGAACATTAGCATGATTAATGAAGCGTAAGTTTATGGGCTCTGCACTTACCCGCCAGTCGAGCTGGCCTGGACCAGCGATTCGAGCAGTTTCCAGACTTCATCAGATTTGAACTCAGCCGCCTTGTTAGGATTCTTGGAACGCACCGCCTCGAGCAACGGTCCCATGTGCTGGCGCAACGGCAACATGTCCATTTTGTACAAGTAGACCAACAAATGGAAGTCCGAGATGGCCTCGAGAAAGTCTTCTTCGCCCCAGGCGGACAGGTAGTTGCTCAGCGCATTGAAGTCCTGCAGATGGCCATCGATATAACGATTCTCGATGGGGAATGGCTGGCGTTTGTCGAACTCGGTGAATGTGAACTGCGGCTGCAGCGGTGTCGAAGCGGGCACATCGACTAGCAGATACTCCACGGGCAGCGGACGGGCCAGCCGTTGCACCTCGTTGCCATATTGATCCTTCTCCTGAAACCAAAAAAGCAAACAATAACTATTTTTGTAGGAAATCAAGAGAAACACTGAATAAATCGATTAAAAAATTTAATTTACTGAATTCACTGGTGGGGAATATGAACCCTAGACATGCAACGACCTCTCTTGCGCTACTGGCGTGCCTCAATGATATTCATTCCCGAGAGGAAGTGACATGTGCAACGCTTTTTCCATTTTTTCATCGACAGGACGTGCATCCCAAACGTGAGTGACTACAATCGGCGCAGCACTATCACTATCAGTTAAACGATAGCTTACAAACTAATCCAATTCACATGCTTAGTGTGAAAGCGCAACGACAACATAGCTTTTGGTTAAGAGGGAACGAACTGCATTAAGAGCGCACACTCTTACACGCATTTTTTCTCACTCTGACACGCTCGGGGTGTATGTGCATGCAACAGTTTGGTGCACAGGGCACAGGCATAGCCACAGCACGTAAGAGCTTTGTAGTCGGGCGCATATGACTGCCTGGTACCCTATTTCACTCTTGTGTTTTAGCAACAGGCAAAATGTATCGGAGCTATGCAGGTGAACGATCGAAAAGTGTTGATCTTCGTCGGAGCGCATTACATTACAAAGGCCGCGCCTCCAGTGGCCGCAAATATATCTGCCATTACTTTGTTAGCCAACGAAACCCGAATACTCAATATAGAGCTGTCTATTGATCGTCTTAATACTGCAATTTAAATGTAAAATTTGTGGGGTCCATTGCATACACTTATACTTTTTACTCTCTATCACTTCAACTAATAGGACATCTGATATATTAAAAATTCATTTTACGATTAGCCAGGTCTCTACTGGAACGATCAGGAAAACCAAAGTATATATTCAATGTAAAGCCAATCAAAGTCAAGTTTTCTCATGATTTTGAAATTTCTTGTGATTATTTGGTGGGACAGAATATTGTTTCTTTCTTTTCAATCTGAGACCATAAAGCCTTGCAGCACTGATGCACTCAGACCCACTAGGCAGCAGAGTTAACTCCAACGTTGTAGTTACCAACCAAGGCACAAGCTTCCCAGACTGGACGGTATCTGCTTTTGATTGTGGCAACGGCTTGCAACACCTGCAGCTAGTTAGCTCACCTCAAAATGTGCGAAGGGCTGGAGGTTTGCGGCTCCACGTGGAGTGCTGACCTATTTAGGCGAATTGCCATTACAATTTGCACATCAGTTTATCACAAAAGATACATTAATGAACACCAGGTAAAATAAGCAGCAAAAATTTATTTGTCATTTGGATTTATATTCAATGACATTTCGCTTGGGGCTGCAATTAAACAACTACATTCACTTTTTGAATATATAAAAGGAAAATGAGATAATATAAGCAACATTAATTGGATTGTCATTTGGATTTATATTAAAGGAAATTTGCTTGGGGCTGCAATTAAACAACTATATTAACTCTATGAAAAAATGACACTGAAAAGTCAACAAGTCGACAAACCAGAGCATATTCGTTTATTGCGCTGCTTGGTAAATAAAGTGCGCTCCAATTGGGAACCGATGGGCGTGGCTGGGCGTACACACCTGGCCGGCATCAACTCGCACCGAGTATGCAGTGGAGCACATTTAATTGCAACGCTATAAATCCCTCTTTGCCAACAGATGTCAACGTTTATGCAAATGACTTTATGGTTGCCGTATCACTCAAAGAGTTTCAGGCATTCACTCATATCATATCTGCGCAACCTCATCGATCATATAGAGTAATTTGCTTAAGCATTGACATATGTTGGCACAATAGCATCTATTGAGTGCTCTGTGGCACATTCGGGCATCATATGTGGACAGTGCAGCCCAAGTTGGAATGACACGAATGTGTGCGCTCAGCAATGTCCATCTCTTCGCAACTGGAGCGTACTTTATTGACCAAGCAGCCCAATAAGCGACCTATGGAAGCGTTCAGCTTGTATGTGGCCCCTCATAGAACAGGAATATGCCTTTTTCACAGTTGAATGCTGCAACCTTAATAAATGTCAGAATGTCAGAAAAAATGTTCCAGCCTGTGTTACCTGGTTTTACGTGTGAAGTAAGCAATGCTGGAAATTCGTATAAATGGGTTAGCACTGCAGTTGAAACCGCAAACCTCAATTCCTCACACAATTAGCAGTGAGTAAAATAATTTATGATTTTGCACACAGCTAGTAGCTCTCTTAACCAGAATCATGGAGTTTGATTAACACCACAAGAGAAGTCTTATGCATGCCAAACACAATTATGTATTATTATATTAGACGGCTAGCAGATGCAACTCCAAATGAAATTGCATAAATAAATAAATGTTGTATGAACTATTGTTGTTCGTATAAGTCAATACATATTTGTTCTTATATTAGCGTAACTTAAAACAGTAAGTAAGTAAGTAACCCAACCATGCATAAGCCCACTATCATATGAGCTAAAGTAGCTCCATTTATGGCTGCACAGCACACAAAAACAAAGAAGGAATTCAGAAGAAGGAATGCAGTAGGCAAAGTGAATGATGTCTGCCATAGAGACAATGATGAAACTGCGTGCACGCACAGTCGGACACAAGGCAGTTCCGGAATTGACTACTCAAACGAGGCAAATTGACAGCAGAGCATAAATTGAATCAGTGAGAGGGAGAAAGACAAAAAGAGTGGATGTGGATGTGGGTGTGGGTGTGGATGTGGGTGTGGGTGTGCGTGGAAGCAGAAGAATGCAGCGCCAGTTGACATTGATCTTGAGCCTAAAGCATAGCTAGCAGGGCGCTCTCTTCCATCCAAATTTAAGAGAGCAAGAGCCGAGCGAAAGCTCCTTCGCTCACCCACACAGAAATTGGCTGCTGCCTGGCAGACTATAAAAGCGAGCGCTGCACTCTGCACTCATTGCACTTGTCAACGAAACTCCGAACGGGACGGACCTTCCCATTGGACACGAAGCACTACAGAGCGCGCTTCACTGCAACTATAACAACAACGCGAATCATCTTAGTGTCGTTTTGAATGTGTTACGCGGCTGTGAACATGCTCAGCCAGCTTGACAACCGCAGCAACTGCAGTAGTGTTAGTAATGTTTTGGACAGCGGTTGCTGCTGCACCAGCTTCCACGCGTAACGCCACTGCTATTGCCAGTGCAACGCCCACATATCAGCAGCAACAAGCCAAACCACCCCGTGTCCACGCCAGCAGTTGGCAAATTAGTAATGCGACATTCAAAACCCGCCGCTGCGAGCAACAAGAAACGCACCTACAGAAAATAGACGAGCATCAGCAATTTGAGCAAGAGCAAGAGATTCTAAACGAAGACAATAGCCAAGTGCATAATAGATCAAGCAATAAAGCAAAGAATATTCAGAGTAAAATATTTAAAGTTTTAGCGTCCTGCAAGTGCATACAAAGTGGTTTAAAATAGCAAAATAAAGAAAGCTAAATTAATAAATCAAAAATAAAAAAAAATGATTGAATTAAAAAAATAAAATAAAGTACAGTTTAAAGTGACTAAGCTAAAGTGCAAAGATACAATTTAAATAAAAATAATATATAAATACAAGTTAAAACTAAATACTGCTTCAGCATGAGGTGGGTGTAATTTTTGGCATGAACAACTCATGCGTAGTTTTAGCTAAACTTTTCCTAATTTCCTGGTACCAACTAACAAATGAAAGTTTAGTGCGACTGTTCACTGGAAATGTATAATTTTAGAGAGGCTTCTATTTAAATAGTAAGCAATACGCAGTTTAAACCACCAACGGCAACAATTGAGCTGCAAGCTAATAATCAACTAAATATTTCATTAAAATACAATTCGTAAATTTTAATATTGAAAGTGCAGTAGAACATGAATTTCCATAAATAGCAGCTAATTTGGATAGAGTGAAAAATATCATGAAAATGCCTAGCAAAAACTATTTTTGTATATACTATGGAGAATTTATATCAGAGCAGATTTTATTCTCATTTATTCGCTGACCTTAGCTCTAAGGTGTAATCGTTAGACGCAGTCAATTTGAATTTTGATGAATATGCACTCAATATGTTCGACTTTTGGTTTTAGAGCCTATTATTATTACATTTAGCCAATGTCCGTGTGACTTTCCTGTAGTTAGCAAATAATTAGTGGGCTGTGCGAGTGGTGAGGGCGATTTTTGATTGATGGCAAATAGCGGAACAGCAACCACAATAACCACACACACACATACACAAGCGAATCTCAGGATTAGGCGAAATGTCAAGTGCAGCGCTCATCAAGCTTAATGGTAATGGATGACTTATTAAATAGGACCTTAGTGGCGGACTTTACAGTTAAAAGTTATATGTGAATATATACATTTGCATTTGAATTCTGAATTCGTAGATTCAAACTGAAATTAAAACCCACTAGACAACATTTTGCCTTCATCAAATCATAAAACTGTGTTATTAAGGATCGTACTTCATTTATATACCCACTTCAGTAGTGCTATCAACATGGCATTACGTACTTTAGGAAGGAGGGAAAGAAACAAAATCAACTGCCCACGCATCAGCGAGTCAATTAAAAATTTTTTCATAGCAATGACAATGACAACGAAACTAAATCCAAATTGAAAACATATAGACGTGGCATATCGATGTTGGATTTTATTAATTAAGTTATGGTTTTTAATATTCACAAAATTCAGCGCTTAGCTTTTAGCTTAGAGAAGTCGAGCTGGATCGAAATTCGTTTATAATGCACAATCTATTGTTCTCTCTTTCTCTCTCTACATTTAGTAACACTATGAGAATTCCAAAAGAACTGAAGAAGCTTCTCACCTGCTACCAATGCAAACATACTTATTGTCTACGCAATCCTGACCGATGGCCGAATGAACTGATTTGCCTGCATATAATGTGCTCCGGCTGTGCGAAGCGACTGCTCGTTGGGTCGTACGTAGTTTGCCCTGATTGTGGCAGCATGACGCCAATGCCGGCTTGCGGACGTTTGCCGGTGGATAGGGGCTTGCACTTTGTGCTAAAGGAATGTGTGCCGGCAATTAATCTGGCCCGGACCATATACTAAAGAATGCAACGTCCGAGAGCCCAAACGATACACAACAATGACTGCACAGAGGTGCGGCCATTTCCAACCCAAAACCAGGAACCGACTACGCAGACCGGCTTTGACTTCGACTTGCCCAGCACATCAGCTGCTGCAGCGGCAGCCGCTGCAGCCGCAGCAAACGCCACTCGAGGCGACAGTTTTCCGCTTCTTCCCATTTTGCCGATGAGCGCAGTGGAGCTCAGTCCCACTCCCTCATCTGCACGCAATCCCGTTTACTTTCTAGATATGGAAGTGTCAGGAAAAGCGATAGGTCGCATCCTAATCGAAGTGTGCGCCAATGTTGCCCCACGAATGGCAGCGAACTTCCATTCGCTCATCGTGCATCAGCGCGGCTTTGGGTACAAGGGCTGCAGCGTGTTTCAGGTCTGGAACAATGAGAGCATCACCACAGGCGACTTTGAGTTGCAGAATGGTCGTGGTGGCTATTCAGCGCTCGAGGAGCGCTTCTTTATGCCAGATAAGAGCGGATTGCCCGCCAAGCGAGGCGCCGTGGGCATGCGCCGGGGTCTACATCGATATGACAACAACGGATTTGTGGGCAGCCAGTTCCGCATGGTGATCAATGATGTACGGACCTTCACGGCCATATTTGGCTATATTATTGAGGGTATTGAAGTGCTGGACGAAATTGCTAGCGCGGGCGATGCTAATGGAACTCCCACGGTGAGCATTTCTATCAAGGATTGTGGTGTATATGGGGTCGGTACTTTTAAAACAGATAAGTTACTTTGCAGCCCTGACAGGTTGGCCTAAAGGTCATTCCATTCCATTATATGAACTAACACCTATTCTAGCACAGTTTTTAACAAATCCTTATAATGATATGAAAACATACAATACAATATAGAGATGAAAACGAACCAAACAAAACAATCCGTGAAGAATATATGTAGTGTATTAGTAAACACAACAGAACAACAATTGTGAATGAAAAAAAAAATAATAATAAGAAACGGCTTAAGGCAGTGAAACAAAGGTATTCAAATTATTACTAAAAATGTCTGACAAGGTTATAAATAACTATGTCAAAGCAACTACAAACCATCCAAGTCAGAGTCAAAATACTTTGCAACATAAACACTGAATGCTCAATGATAAAATATTATGAATTTCAATATACAAAATAAAATTCTATGTACTTTAATTGAATATTTAAAAAAATGTTTCTCGAGCGATTACTAATATTGGAAATATGCATATATTAACAAAATATCGAAATGTTATTGATGTGTTTAAGTGTCTAAAAATATTTGTGCTATGTGTCTAATAATATTCGCAAATGGAAGTTAAAGTTTAGGTGATTGGTGAATACCCAAATAATATAAATACCTAGGTACAAGCAACTATTAGCTTGCTAAAAAAGCAGCCAAATAACTTTACCAAAACGAGAGTCAAACAATTTTTTCAATATGTTATTTCAGCAGAAATATTGTATAACATAAGCTAACTTTTGCAAAATTAATTGGTATCTACTATTTTTTTGTGTTTAGTTTTACAAAATATCTCAAGACGGTTAGTGATAAACAGTTCTTTTTATAAGAATTTTACCGAAGATATCAAAAATCATATATACTTGCTATACACAACTTTTGGAAGCTTTACATTTTTTTTTAGAAATTTAACCGACATTTTAAACCAGGATACAGGTTGGGGATCACCTGACTCATTCCGTCATCAGTTTACAAGCTTCTAGTAACTGAAATACATATTTTGGGAAAATCTTTTCTATCTATACAGACTTAAATCTAAACGAAATAAAATTTGTAGACTTTTTGGTAAATCTTGATAAATCTACTTGCATCAAATATTAAATGAAGTTAAAGATATACAAATATTTGAGAAACAGAAAATTAATTATACAAATTTTGAGCATAATATTAGCAAAATGTATTTGTTGATTACAGGGCATCTCAAATTTAAAATGAATCATCAATAAAACAATAGCTGTTTTCCGAAAAGAGCTTCAATCAAAATATTTGATGTGGTTGAAGACATGAATAAAACAACCAAAGGAACACAGACAATGTCGCAAAGTGAAACCCAAAACGAAATTGAAATTAATATTGATATCAAAGTAATCTAGTTGTAGCTCTAATTCTGCACAATCGTTGAGCAAATATTAATATCGTAAATGTCTTTATATATATATATATATATATGTACATGGGAATATCTTATTGAAAAAAAATATATACAATCATTATGAAAGTAATCATATAAAACTGCTAAGGACAGTGAAAAAATGTATTAAAAATATTACGATAAATGAAAAAGTTATATTAAACTGAGTGAATGCAGCTTAAGAGAATCCCACAAGTTGGAATGTAATTTGAAGCAAGAATCAATGGATAAATTCATATTCAAACTAAATTAACATTGCAAGTTCATTATTTAGTTCAGTTTATATTAATTAAATTAATTAAAGTACTCAAACATTAATCTAACAAAAAGCGATTTATGTTATTTTATTTTTACGGCAAAATTTCAGTTCATAATTTCTTATATGCTCAACTTAAAGATTCAAAAATAAGTCTAATGAGAATAAAATTGATTGTATTGATGAATAAATGAACACGCTACATTAAAAGTATTATTCTTAATTAGGTTTATAAATAAAATTATTTAATCTGATTGAATTAAACTTACTTGAAATGAATATTTCAAAGAATTTATCCTTCCTCGAGCATTTATCAACACTTGAAATATGAATATATTATCAAAATGTCTAAATGTTTAAACAATTTGTGCACACGAAATAAAAAATATTGGCGAATTCCTATGACAATCTCTGGGCAATTGAAAGCCGTAAGAACTAATAGCTTGCTTAAAAGCAGCTCACACTACGAAACACAAAAACAAAACAATTTTTTTTTATATAAAATGCGGATTGTAAAGCCGTAAAGAAACGATCCATTTAAAGTTTACAAATGCATTATATAAATATGCCAAAGAAAATGAATACATACATATATAAACGAAGCTAATCCCATAATGTTCTAATTCTAAATGTCTACAGTTCAATATATTCAATAAAGTTATTCCAAAAACATATTATTTAATTTGTTTTTATTCCAACTTAAGTAACTTGATTCGTAATAAAGCCCTCATCAAAAGCATATGACTTAATCCATAATCCAGTGCTGACTAATAAATTTTCGTTGGAATGAATCACAATTGATGACCATCTACTTATACTATAAATGTAAATGTTACATACCTTATAGAAAACGTCCGGGACATATTGTTTATCAGTCGATTCTCGCACATAGCCGAGTTCGGGTGCATCCTTGGTAGGTATTAGACAATTATCACGAACTAGAGCCATGCATTGAGCGGACACAGCGTAGCCCTCCATGTGCACCTGCTTGGTTTGATCACCTGCCAAAATAGAAATGTTAATATATATACATAAATACTTTTAATCATTAAGCTATACTCACCAGTTACGCAAATTGTGACAAATTTGGAGCCAAACGTGCCATTCGTGGCGTATTTACATGGATTCGGATGACGATTCTGCAGCTCACCAGCTGTAATGCACTCTTGAGCGGTCAGAAAATGTGTTTCAATTCCGCGTATTTGTTTTACAGTGCCAGCGCTTGCATCTTCAGTAATTAGATCCGTAAATATCCAGCCAATCTATCAATAAAGTATCAATATGATTTAAGCAAAAGGCCAATTTGGAAACTTATCGATTGCTCACCTTTTTAAGTCCTAGTGCCTTAGCTACGGCATCCACTTCTTCGGCGTTCTCGTCTGGACAGATGTTTATTGAATCGCGAGACGATTCCTGGGGCGGCTCATAGATAGCCGCCACTCTGGCACGTATGCCTAGTGGCACATCCGTATGCTGCTCATAGGTGCCATACAGCCATCCCATGCGTTGATGTCCCGTGGTACGCCAATAATTTAAGAAACGCTCTACAATTTTGGTATTCTCAAACATAACATTGTCCACATGTCGATAGGTTTGACGGTTCAGTGTTATAGCCGATGGCTGGCACTTGGAGCAAATGCCCTTGGGCCATGGTGGATGCTCCCGACAGCCAGGCTTAATGCGACAATTAATGTCATCGAATACAAAATACTTTCCGTGATCCATGCCAGAAGTTTGCTTGCGTATGTACGAATGGAAGGACAAATGCTTGATGTTATGTTCCTTCAGATAATTCTCGTCATATGGCTCCAACGGAGAGCAATGAACGCAACAACCATTGGCATTGTGATGACAACTATGCAAATTAAATATGTAAAGTAATAAATTCTAGTATTCTTTTATACAAATAACTTTAGTTCGGCTATAATCAACTTACAGCTTACTATCGCGTTCACGTTTGATGGTGCCACTCAATTTAAACAACTGTTGATCCACCTCATCCTCGATCACTTCAATGGATGGACGTAAGCTGTTGGTAAGTCTATCAGTGGATAACTTAGCGCTATTGAACGACATATTGTCAATCGCTGTGGTGCTCGTGCGCTGTAAATCAGAATATGTTAATATGGAATATAGCACATATGATTTATAAACTCACGCGTGATGAAGTGCCCGCAATCTGTTTTAAATAGACCATGTCGCCGTGCTTAAGAGCGCTGCCCACCAGCTGGCTGCCGCTTGCGTGTAGCTCTGTGGCAAAGTTCCGCTCCATGAAAAGACCAAAGCCATCGACCTTGAGCACATTTTGTACGCTGTCATAAAGCTGTTTTAGATTTGATTTTGGCGAGATCTCGATGCGTTTGATGCCCTCCGCAGACTGCACGCGTATTAGCTGTAATTCAAGTAGCACATTTGAAAGCTGGTTAGATTCTGCATACATTTAATAGAATAATGCATCGATCACACCGATTGTTTACATAACGTAAAGAGACGATGCCGCACAAAGGCATAAACGAAATTTCGTTTCTTGTAGATGAATTGCTCGAGCAGCAAAGGAGCGCTGGCCATGGTGTTGTTGCTGTTGTTTTGACCTGCTGCTGCTGCTGCTGTTGTTGCTGTTAAGCGTAGCTTGAGCTACTTTTGATTGGCCTAAAAGGCCCTAAACTTGGTGTATGGAACTGTACGACATGAAACCGCGCATTTAACTGCAACAGGAAAACAAATTCGTACCAAATATCGTATTTTTTGGCATTGCTCACAAAATGTAAATATATGTGATAGGACTGTGCCAAAAAGAGAAAAGGTTTCCACTGTCATGGCCACAAAAATATATGCGATTGTATGCATACACCGCGGCGCCTCCTCTATTCCACTCATCTATCGGTCCGTGGCTTTGGTTGCAAAATCTACAAGTCATTGTACCTTTGTTTGTGTCTGTCCGGCGTCGTGTCTCTTGTCCGGCGTCGCCGTGGCAACGAATTTGCACTGACCGTACTCATCCACGGACTCTCATTTATGCACTACACTTCCCGCATAACCGGTACAGAAGTAATACATATAATTTAACAAAATAAGACATTTTCTTATAGCGATTGCAACAACAGAGCGTTGGCGAAAATGTTATATGCCGGCGTTTTGAAACGATCAGAAAGCACAACTTGGCGTCAGCTATATACTCTTCGAGTATACAATTCTATAATGCTTGATTTTACCTTGCTACATAATTATTGCTTTCTATCACTGCAATTAGCAGTTTACTTACAATTTTATCGGACATTGCTTCAAAAAAAATTACACTTGGAAGCAAAGCAACTTGTGTAGACAGTAGGGACTAAGTGTGACCGTGCACATACTATGCTAATGGTACTAAATAGATAAAATACCGAATGCTGTTAATTGTATAATAGCTCTGTTAAGCATGTGGCGGTAAAGCGATATGACTTAACAGTTGAATGCTGGCAAAAATGCATTAACGTAAATTTAAAATTTTAATATTAACATTATTTTCTTGTGCACATTTATATAATAATTTTAATTGGAATTTACAACATACAAGCGTTTTTGTGGAAGACTGAATTTTAAAGCTATAGCACGTGCGTAATGGGAATTTTAGTCATATTTTAAATTTCCCATGCATATGTACTTGATATCAACGTAGTCGTCGATGCCATGACTGGATCCTTCACGTCCCACGCCCGACTCCTTGACACCACCAAACGGCGCCTCTGGTGCGGAGATGATGCCTTCATTTACACCCACCATGCCTACCTCCAGCCGCTTGGCCACACGGAACACCTGTTGCAGGTTCTCACTGTAGAAATAGCCTGCCAGCCCACGCTTCGTATCGTTTGCCTTTTGTACTGCCTCCGCCTCGTCCTTGAATTTGATGATAGACACCACGGGTCCAAAGACCTCTTCGGTATAGATATGCGCCGACGTGGGCACATCCGTGACTATTGTGGGTGCATAGAAGAGATCGCCCACCTCCTGCAGCCCCTTGCCACCTACTATGATGTTGGCCTTCTTGTTGCGCGCATCCTCCACAAAACCGCTGACCTTGTCGTACTGCATCTGATTGATCAGCGGACCGATTTGTACATCGCCGCACTTGCCATCGCCAATCTTGAGCGCCTCGACGCGTTCCTTCAGCTTTGTCACAAACTTATCATAGACGCCCTCCTGCACAAAGAAACGATTTGCCGAGACACAGGTTTGCCCGCAGTTACGGAACTTGGATGCCATGGCGCCATCCACTGCCTTGTCCACATTGGCCGAATCGAAGACTATGAACGGTGCATTACCGCCCAGCTCCAAGCACACACGCTTAATCCCATCGGCGCTATTGCGGAAGAGCAGCTTGCCCACCTGGGTAGAGCCGGTGAAGCTAATGCCACGCACATCGGGACTCTTGCAGAATAGTTCACCGATTGGTGCGGCCTTCTTGGTGGTCACCACATTGATCACACCCTTAGGAATGCCCGCCTGTTCGGCCAGTTTGGCCACAGCAAGCGCTGTCAGTGGCGTATCCTCCGATGGCTTGACGACCACAGTGCAGCCGGCGGCCAAAGCAGCTCCTGCCTTGCGCGTTATCATAGCCAATGGGAAGTTCCAGGGTGTTATCAGCGCCGCCACGCCTATGGGCTGCTTCATAACAATCACCTCGCGATTTGGCTGTCCACTGGGCACAATTTCGCCATAGATGCGACGGGCTTCCTCGGCAAACCACTCGACAAACGCATTACCATAGACGACCTCGCCCTTGGACTCATTGATTGGCTTGCCAGACTCGGCTGTCATGATTTCGGCGATTTCCTGGGCATGCTCCTCGATGAGGCTGTGCCATTTCTGCAAGAGATTAGAGGGCTTAAATACATAGCTCATACCATTTTCAATTTATTTTACTTTGAGCATATTTGACCGATCCTTAGCTGTTAATGCACGCCACTCCTTGGACTCATACGCTTGCTTAGCGGCATCAATGGCCTGCTGTGCATCCTCCACTGTCATGTCGGGTACATTGCCAATCACCTCTCCATTGGCTGGATTTTTCACCTCAAATGTTTGTCTGTTGCTCGAATCGATCCAATTGCCATTTACCAGCGCTTTGGTCTGCACCAGCGCCGAGAAACCGCGCATTCTGCTGACCTTCAAAGAACTAAGCCTTCGGAACATGTTTCTTACGTTTTTGCCTGCTTTTGGCAACAAATCAATGTTAATGTCAGTGCTGTTTGTACCGGCAATCGCGTGTCGCTTATCAGTTTTAATGTTATCTATAATTATCTCCTACCTTATACGACTGGTAAAGCTTAGGTCTAATTACCAGATAGCTTTCCACCTTTTATTCTCTTTGTGAATCTATCGGTCGTCTTGATTAGTCTCAATTGATTTTGATTGCAGCGATGGACGAGAACAGCTGAATGTAGATGAAGGATGTTACGTAAAGGTATGCGCGGTTTTGCGCTCTTTTGGAGCATGACGTCACAAAACGAACTGCTGTTAAGGAATATGCCCAATCATGTTTGTAATGAAAATGTCATAAAACTATGTTAAGAAACTAAATTAGTCTACACTGACCAATAAAAGTACGGCTTCTTTTAAAACAAATTTCGAAGATGTTAGAAGAATATTGTTTATTTGTATGCCTCCTATGAATGCAAGAAATATATTATATGCATATCATGATCTCTTTACATGCATACATGTGTCGTCAGAGAAGTATTTGTCCTCTTCCACCATAGATTGACCTAGCGAAATCCGTCTCTATAGAGCCATGGGAGAGTATTCCAACTTATCGATATATCGATTAATGTTCTAACAGCTAATACTTATGTTAGTGATAAGAGATTTCTGTTATATTCGTAAACATTCTCTCTGCTTATATAGTTTTGTGCCAGTCAGCTTCTGTCCGGCTAACGATCAGTTAAATTCAAATTCGCTATGCAAAAGAAAGTAGCGGCCTGTTGCCCATTTTAAGTTATTGGATTTGTTGTTGCAGACAGCGCCACTTGTTGGCACGGAAGCTATGCATCCAAATTGAACCAGACTACGCTCCATTTGCAGCGCGCCATTCGCCTGCCTATGTTTTCAGTTTTTCTAACCTTTTTGTGTGCCATTTACCTGTCGCTTTGCATGAGTCGACGCCGCCGCAGCCAAAGCTTCCAGCCGGTGCGCAAGTGCTCCATTTATTATGCACAGCTATGGTCATAGATTTCACATGTGCCGATGGCAGGTTCTGACTGCTGGCTGCCTCTTACCTACGCGCCAAGCTACTGGTCATGCAGCTTCCTGGTGGACTCCCTATGCAATCTATGTTGCAAATTTTTGTCAATAAATTTTCGGCATAGAATGCCAAAACACTGACTGGCTGCACCAGCTTGCCGTGCAGACCATCATAACTGTTAAGATAAGATTGCATAGATGCGAAGCGATGCGATGCGATGCGGAGGCTAAAAATGAATTCAATTAGTTCTGATTTAAAACTAATTGAAAATGCGTCGAGCTAAACGAAGAGCGGAGGCGCGCACGCCCCCGGCCATTGGGCCTGTCGATAGGTGTGTAAGTTATTTGTCTTAAGTGCTGCCGGGAGGCGTTGCATGCCACAGCAATTCATGTTCGCCTGACTTTTATGATTATGGCCAAAAAGTAGAGAGCCTGGCAGCCGGCTAATGAAGAGCTCACATTTCGGAGCACATTCTAATGTCTACTTAACTGCACAATTGTGACAAGTTTAATGCGGCTGCAATATAACAAAATTTATAGACAATGCGGCCCCGACTCTTTAGGCATAGAACTAGGCAGCGTGCCTTTTGTCTAGCTAATTGTAATACGAAATCATAACACGCCATAAAAATGAGACAAAGGCGAAGTAGATCGAGAGAAACCAGTTCCAAGACACAAGACGCAAGGCACACGAGACCCAATACCGAAGACCCAGGCAGCTGGTCAATGGCAAACAATGCTCTAAGAAAAATCTACTGGAATAGCAGCAGCCGCAGCAGCAGCATCAGCAGAAGCAAAAGCAGCTCAGCCATAAATCATGTTTGGAAACACGTTCGCTCAGGAGACAAAATAACAAAAAAAAAAAAGGAATTAAAGAAATACATAACATCTGTTCTTTTGGAACCGACAGCTTTTTCTGAAAGGACAAAGCAACTGGCAACTGGCAGGCAGGACTTGCTGCAAGCTTAGGGCGTCGAACTGGTTGCCACAGAGATAAATGTGTTTGGTGTGATCGTGTTCTCAGCAGCTGCGCCTTGCTGCCGATTCACTCACGTTAAGCGCCACACAAAATGGCTGCCAGGATAATAGCTTTGCCTCCTGCTTCTGCTGCTGCTGCTGCTGCTGACTCACCTTGGCACGTGGTGTCACTCCTTGACAGCGGTTGCAGCTGCTCAACAAGAAAACAAGTCACAATACTGTTGCCTGACTTGACTGACCAGAGGATACCCTGTAGACAAACATGAATTACGTTAGATCTTAGGTAAGTTGTGTGCCTTATTTATTTAATCAGAATTATTGATGCGTCTAAAATATAGCGCTTCCAATTAGGCTTGTAGAACCTTCTCAGTAGACATATCAGATGGTATCCAATCCATGGACTTTGTTAAATTGTTGTCTAAATCAAGAGAGAGATTAAAGGTAAAGAAGGAAACATTAAAAATATGAATATATTACGAATATATAGTTCATACACTCGCTTTATTATTAATGATGGATATAACTGCACTCAGATAGACAAACAGCTTGACAAAGGAATTATTATATCACAGTCTTAACACATAATTAAATTATATACATCCAATCAGATAAACTTCATATACGACTTTATGATAACTGCATTATACCCTATTTGAAGAAACACTTTCGATAGCTCGAGGGTATTACAAGACGTTGTTGAGTGGCAGCTGTACTCCATTTGGACTCTGCCCAGGACTGTCCCGTTCGACAACAACTTCTGGCAGCAGCAACACGTGTGCATTTTTTTCATGTGTGTGTGTGTGTGCGTGTGGTTTAATTATTATTTACCTTTGCCTCAAGGTTATGTCATTATTATAGCCAACTTGATTATTAATTCATAATCTGGATCCTCGCCTCTCCTTTAGTCCTATTGTTTGTGATCTGCTCTAGTTAGGGTCCCTTGGCCTTTGTCAGCCGGGCTGCCCTTGAGCTTGGGCCAACCCTATTGGGATTGTTGGCAACCGCGCAACCCCAATCGTAAAAAATAATAATTACGCACTCACACATACACATACACACACACACACATACATATGGAATCTAAGAGTTTCCTTGTTGATTGCCATCTTCGGCTTGCTGCGCATAATCTTTGCCATTGAAATGCGAGTAGGAAACTGTATTGCGCATTCCTTTCAGCCGAAGTCGAAATTTTGGTACAATTATTGTGCCATGTTCCTATTGTTTACTGTGCGTAACTCATCTCCGAACAGGGTTCCAGTTTACCGATTCGCCATGGGGTTGGTCTTATAGCCAAACAATTGACATACACTGCGGAAAATGATAGTGCCGGAGGTATTTCTTGTTTTTCTATTATATACTGAAGATCCAATCGAATGGAATAGAATTGAATTGAAGCGAAGTGAAAAGACATAAGGCAGAAAACCGAAGAGAGAGGAGACAAGATAGAAGACAGAGAAGAGAAGAAAGAATTTCAAGAGAGAAAACAGAAGACAGAATAGATAAGAAAGAAAAAAGACAATAGAGGACAGAGAAGAGCAGAGACTGTACCAAATATGAGATTTTAAAAACGCGTAAAACTTGTTCAAAAGCAATCAAAGGAGTTTCACAACTACGCATTTGAATTGGTACTCTTGATTTATAATTTATGCAACCCCCAATGGAATGGCAAATGTTACGCATTGGCCCACTAGGACAACGTAAATGGGGTGGTTTAACCCAAAGGATGCTGTGATTATCCCCAAAAAGTTGCCGCTGCTAAATGTGGAACTGCGTCATGAGCAAACGAATTCTCACGCTTTTATTTTATTTATTTTTTTTTTCATATTCGTTTTTGCGCAGCTTCTTTCGCCCTTGTTGTCCTTAGGCTCAGTCCCATGTCCTTGTCCTTGTCCTTGTCCTCATCCTTGTCGTATTTGAGTTGGGTAGGCCTTTTCGCAAATGCAATGCGCCTTTGTGTCTTGCGAGTTTCCTGAAGATCAACTAACAGCCATAATTATACACCTATACATACGTATGTGCATACACACACACACACATATGTATGTATATTAATTTATTTGCCCTAGGCTATATGCATTCATATTGAAATTTCTAGTCTCTCGTTGGGAAATGCAACAAACGAGATTTGTGACGTTTCCGTTTAATTGTTGCAAACACTAATTTTTTCTACATCTTTCTTTTGTTTCTTTGATTCGTAAACGTTGCACGTGCAAGCTCTGCGTCGTCAGCTGTCGTCTGTATTTTTTTTCGCCAACTTTATGCGAATATCTTAACGCATAAACAGATCAAATTACGAGCGCTCTAAAAAAAAACAACCGGAAGTTTTTAAATCAAAAGAGGAACAAAATCCAAAAGCTCTCTTAATTTTTATATACTTTTTTCGTATACTTTTGTTTTTTATAAATTCTCATAAATATTTTGTGGAATTGCAGCAAAAGGATGCTGCTGGCCGTATGAACTTGAAAAAATAAGTTATTAAAGATAAAAGCGATCTCGATCCACGCTTGATTTGCTTTCAGGTAAGTGTAAACACAATTTCAGTTACATTTTTACCCTGAGTTTTGTTTTTGTTGAGCAAACATCGAGCCTGGCATCGCAAACAGAGTCAAAGATCTGTTGATGATCAGCGATCGCTGCTTCGATCTTCCGACTGGCATCGTGTGGATACGTTCGTACGAAAGTTCATTGACGTCCAAAGATCCATTTATATAGTACCATATTAACATCATTTGCGCTGAGATCGTACGCTAAGCTGATCTGGTATACGATCGAGAGATTCGAGAAATTGAACTTTAATAAATTGTAGCATTTATATAGCAGAACGACTTTCGATTGCATTAAAAGATATATAGACGCACTTTTGGAGAAGTATGCCTGATTGCACTAATATTTTCTTATAAAGATCTTCGGCAAAGACTTAAGCAAAGTGAACCTGGGAAAATTGCAAGAAAAACTCTGACAAATTCATGTTCCCGGCGAGGTAAATAAATGTAAAATCCGCTTGCGCAAGATCCCGTGCAACTGATAATTCGGGGTATAGATACATATTTGAACTATCTCTCTTCTTGGGCTGTTCTTTTGTCTTTTGCTTAAGCCGCAAGTAAATTTCGCTGTAGATCAATCAATGGAACAGAATAATAAATCAACGGAAATGCAGGACTTTCGGCTAACGTGCCATGTCCTGGCTGCAGCAGGATGCCTTTTGTCTGAGAGGGACTGATCCTTTTGTGTTTGGCAA